GTGTACGTGGCTATCTTCTACAATTCATCCGGCTAAACTGTTTATTTCAGTGACCTATCAGATAGTGAGTTACACACCTTGGCCACTCAACAGTTGAAATGTCCTGAGGGAACTTTATGTGTTTACGACCTCCGCCTACGCCTGACATTGCGCAATAAAATAATCTGGTATAAGAGGTCTCCAGAATCATAATTCATACTTTCTGGAATCTCTATATGCATAGGGTGTGAAATAGAAAGTGTGTCATATTTTATCAAAAAGACAATTTGTTAAAATTTGAACAGTCGCTTTCACGCATATTGCCTTCAATCCGCCTGGATATCCGACGAAAATTTCCTTTGTGGATTGAACCAGACAGATTGAAAATCAAACTTCGGATTCAAACTAAACAATCTGTCTGCTTATTCACTTTCTACACTGGATGATTGTTTGTCTGGCTTTGGAGAAGCGGAGCGCAAACCACCTTCATGCATAATAAGAGGAAAACTCCAAGAGCGAGGTTGGTAGACTGGGGAATTCATAGCCTTTGGTATTTTATTGAAAGTTTATGTTTTGAAGTTTAGTCGGTGGCTTTTAGGATCATCTCATGTTAATTGTCTAGCCGTGATGGAAAAGTTTCTTCTGTGAGGTCGACAACGAAGACGAGAAATTTTTACCCACATGTTGACCTTCTAGAAATGCCACGTGCATGAAATCTGACAGGGCAGACTTCGATGATTATTGAAGTATCAAATATCTAAAATTAAAACCATCACTTCAACGGTACTGCTTGTAAGCCCTGTAGGTATGAGATTGGAATTCCTCATGCAAGTCAGTTATGTAAATTTGAAAATTTTGTCCACACGGAAGTTCGAATTGAGCACATAAGATATTAAGATCCATCTGCTTTTTGTGATTTTGTCTATTTTCAGCTTAATCCAACTTCTGGACCTCCCAGCAATGCCCGAGGTCAATAGACTAGGACGGAAATTTGGCAACAAAATGAAAGGCCTCCAAATAAAGTTGCCTCCAATTTTTTAGACTGACATTTGTGTCCGTTGTTATAACAAGCATTGCTGAATGGTTACAGTAGATGTGCTAACCCATGAAATGTCAATCAACATTTCGAAATGCGGTCTCGATTCGAAAAGATTAATTAAGTAGCGTTGTGAAACTAATCATGATGCAGCATAAATCTATAATGATCCAGTTACCCCAAGGCGTCAGAATTCGAAAGAACTTATTTTCGGCTGCATGCAAGATCTATACTCTGCAAAAAATGGCTACATAAGTAGTATGCAATTTTCTCATTGATTTTCGATGTCCTTGAAAATTCAATTATATTTCATGGAAAACATACATAAAAATATTCATTCTTTTACATATTCGGTAGAAAATCACGTCTTCTTCCAATCTCATACTCAAAAGACGAGGATAATTCGGTTTTAAAAAACTTTTCTAATTCCCGAATAATTTTGAACACCTGCCTGTCGTTACAATTGTGTTCTGGGTTTCAAAACTACAAGCCGTATATTTTCCGTGTACGGAAAACCATGCATTTCTCTACGGTATTAAGAGGAGATCATATGACGTTCATAAAATTAAGCAGTGTATTTGAGCAATATTGTTAACTTTACAAGCCGCATTCGTAAATGCAGATACATGACGTTTCATGAACGGCCATTTAACGGTATTAAAAAAATCTCACAATTAGAACCTTTTATAAAACTGAATTTTACTCTTCTTTAGAGTATGAAATTGGAAGAAGACGTGATTTTCTACCGAATACGTAAAAGAATGGCTATTTTATGCATGTTTTCCATGAACTATAATTGAATTTTCAAGTGCACCAAAAATTAATAAGAAAATTGCATACTACTTAAATAGTCATTTTGCAGAGTATAGATATTGCCTGCAGCCGAAAATAAGTTCTTTCGAAAGCCGACACCCTGGGGTAACTGAGTCATTATAGATTTATGCTGTATCATGATTAGTTTTACAACACTACTTAATGTATCTTTTCGAAACGAGAACGCATTTCGAAATTTTGTTTCACATTTCATGAGTTAGAACATCTACTGTATGTTTTCATGCATATGTG